GTGTGCCTTGGCACTTCTCTAATACTTGATCATTTGAGACGTCAATATTACATGTAGGCCTGTGTTGCTGACACAATTAGGCAGAAACTACATATTGGGAAATTAATCCTCCAAACATGTGGCTTTCTAGCGCAATTTACATATCCCTATGACTACGTAGAGTGAAATCCACTTCAAGCTGGGACTGACACCATAAAGTTCTGTTCCTTTAAACGATCACAGCTCAACCAGATGTAATGTGGTTGTTGTGAGCAGACTGTCCACTAGAGGGCGTCTGAACCCTGAGTATCGATGCAGCTCAGGGTCAAACCTCCAGGGTGTCTGCTGCTCTGCGCCTCGCCTCCCTAACCCCCTCCCTCCCTCCCTCCCTTCTCCTCACAGAGACGGAGCAGGAGCCGTGCTGGGACTTCCTGTTGTCTGAGGAGCATCAGGATCTGGAGGAGGAGGCACCAGGAAAAACTGATCCGGACTCGGACAAAGACTGCCTGGTGTTTGAATTCTCCTCCGAGCCTCTCTTACCCTGCTATCATGTGCAGGTGTCACTAACCCAAGGGTGAGTTTCCAAAAATATAATCTGTAAAAATGCCATCAGTTTTTAATCTGGATGCAAAAAGACACCAACCCCCAATACCCCAACATGGTCATCATATTTAGCTTTCATGCAAGGATGATTTGTGGGTTGCAAACCTCCCTTCTGAGATGCAACTGTTTAAATGCCACCCATTTCAAAAAATCAACTCAAATATATTTTCACTGTGCGCTCAATGTTTATGTGAATTCAGCTGAATGAAGATCGGATGGTAGCAGGTAGTGATAGCTCTGACTCATGACTGCAATACATCAACAGTTTCATAGAGGCGTGTTTTCTCAGCTTCCTGTGAAAAGAGAATCACACACAGTGGAGTGCTGTTTATACTTACACCTTGTCTCCTGATAATATACCAACATCTTCACCGGCGCAGTTTGTTAGTACACATATACTCGTGCACAAGTGTGGGACGATGAACATTAGACAAATATCGACAACAGTCGGTTAAGAAGTTCTGCACTGTTTAGCATTGGTGTTTCATCACAACAGTCATAAGTTAATTAGGGTACATCAAAGATCACTTTCTAACTTCTAACGAGCCCCCGCTGTGTCCCGATTTCAAGTGATACTTCAGTGATTTATCGTGGTACTTTTATAATGTTGGAGAACTTGCAAGTTCAGAGGCCAAGATAGCATGGTCTTTTTATCATGGCGTTTATATCGTGGTGTTCTCTTTTTAGTGTGGGTCAAGCTCCAACACTGCTGGGTTCTACAATTCTCGTAATGTAACCGAATATTGAATTAAAAGTTTTCACTGCCAGTTTATATTGAATAACTTTGTTTAAAATGGGCCTGTAAAAATGATTCTGTCCTGAACTTTGAGAGGAGATCATCAGTCTGTGGCTTTCATGAATGTGTGGGAGGAAATGTGCTAATTAGAGTATACTACTAATATAGACTAACTTATATTTCCTTATTTCTCTCTTGCAGCTTTTGCAACTGGTTCCTCCTGACGGACGTCCTGAAGCGTCTAAAGATGTCGGCACGGATCTTCCGGGCGCGTTACCCGCAGCTGGAGTTGGTGAACCTGTCTCGCACTGAGCTCTCAAAGCAGGTCTCGATCAGCCAGGTGAGCGCCGCCTTGGCTTCGCCTCAAAAAGGCAAAAAGGAGGAGGAAGAGAAGGAAGAGGAAGATGAGGGACTTGTAGATCTGGTGCGATGTGTACCAGAGCTCCAGAGACTCCTGGGCTCCTCCCTCCACATCCTGACGGAGGATGAGGAGCAGGAGACGCTGATAGACACGGGGAAGCATGGCAGCCGATAGCCTCCCTCTCACAGCACTCTTCAACGTGCAAACTGTTGTCAACCCGAGTCCTTCCTGCCAGCAGCAGCCAGAGGAAACCTCTCCGTCCGATGTCACATGGGTCAAGGGTTTTAACTCCAGTCACGACACTCCACCTCTAACCTTTGACCTCAGACAGAAGGTGATTAAGTGATCACAAAGACCTGCACATGGGAGTGGTCGGTGCTGGAAAGCAGCTTTCAGGTTCCTATCTATAGGTATATTTGAATACACAAACTATTGAGCAGACCTTTTGTATTGATCATGTATGTACATGGTAGTGTATATGTATATCTTGCCACCAGGGTTAAAACATTTGGTTATATAAATGTATTCTAGTGGCAAAGGACAAATTATGTTTAGGAGGGGTTTTTTTGTTCCTGAGGAAAAGTATTGTTTTTCTTCGATGGGATACAAACCAAGGCTTTTATCTTGGTGAACTCTTGGAGCTAAGACTTTAAAGTCAGGGAGGCCTCTGGCCCGGATGATCCTCTGTCAACCTAGGAGACCTGGAGACCTGCAGAGAGAGACGACGGCACATAATACTCAGACACAATCATTTCCATTGTTACCCTCTGTTTCATTTTTCACTTTATGACATCATTACCGGACAGACCTAAGTAGCTTATGGTGTTTACTTTTCTTTGACATTTCACAAAGTCAAGGCAGGCAGCGCTGAGGCCGTCCCTGCTCGCAGTATGAAATCATGTTTTTTTGGACCTTGATATTAAGAGTTTGTTTACAGAGTTGGACAGATGGCAGGGCTCTCCGGTCCCCAGGTTGCACTCCTCATGAACTCATACAGAATCCTGTGGATCTCTCTCAGAGGAAAAGTAGTCCCACCTCTGCGTCCAGAGCCCTCTCAACTGCAGCCACATCCTGATATGGTGTCCCCAGATCCCAGAGTGCTTTGTGTTGCAGTGTTTTATTTACACTGTTTGTTGTGCTTCATTTAATAGTCATTAATATATTTGACCTCTTGTGTATCGGACGAGCCTGTCTGTGAGATGAGTTGCTTTGTATGGTCGGTGCTTCATTTTGAAATGTACTTATTATTAGGATCCCTTTATTCTGAGATTTTTCTCCCTCATTTAAGAACAGTATTTCTCAACAAAAAAAGCTAAAGTACAGTTTTATTGTACTGGTGCTAAGACAGATTTTGTGTTGACAATCAATGATGTTTTGGTTTGAAGTCACAAACTAATAAAAGATATTTAAGATGAAGAGACTTAAGGTGTAAAGAAAAGTATAGTTTAGTTACAGAAAACGGGATACAGCACGACTGAACGACTGAGCAGTGTGTGAAGAGCCTTTTATTTGATTCTTTTTTTAAGAAATCAACAAGAATAAAGCATGATTGTGAATCATCGTTATTATCTCTTATGTTCTGTCAATTGGATTATTATAATGATTGCTGAATTGAATATTCGCGGGAGAACTCTCCCTCAGGCGTCTTTCAAATGATTGCTTCTGCCACAGAGATCTCACTGAATACATCTTAAATCAGAGGTAATTTGCCCCTCAGAGAAAATCGAACAAAGAACCACGAGATGAATCTTTGCTGTATCTGAAGGAAACCTTTTATATTTAAATCAAATACGCTTTATCGCACAGTAGGGTTTGGTAATATGATGAGTAAATACCACTATTGTTCGTCTCAGTGGAGTGATGATCTGTACGTTATCAAAGGTTCAATTATAGCCTGGTCCCTCTGTTGTACACCATCCTCCTTATTACTTTAATGCCGTGTTGCCACACTGTCTCCACTGCGGAGTCACGTATAGGACAAGTACGTTAAAACAACTTCATTTTATAATTGCCTTACGGGAAAACATAGAATTAGCACTCTGTTCCCTGCTCCCACATTTCTTTTTCATATATTGTAACATTCTGAACAATCAGATCTCATATAAAGGGTTTAATGTTGACCTCATTAAGGTTGAGAATATGCTTGAATTAGAATATAATCTTCTTTAAAAAAAAGTAGTTAAAGTTGATTTTAAAATAATCTAGTGTTTATCTCATTTGCAAAAGGAAAGTTATTTTCTTGTGATCGTCATTCACAGCTGTGTAAATCCTCTAACACTCAACATTAGGAAGCATTACATTGTCATAATTAAAGTTAATATCAGAATCAGAATACCTTTATTAGTCCCAAATGTGCAGCGTTACAGCAGGAAAGAGCCACAGACAGCTTAGTGTTGCATATCTTACATGTTTTAAAAAAAGTACTAAGTTGGACAGCTTATTACACTAACAATCTGACAGTATACTTTGATTGCTGTGGCCATGAAAACATTTGATTTTCACAACTAAATTGCATTTAGTAACAACGAAGATGTGATGATGGCGGTTTTGAGAGTCTGGGAAATGTGTTAATTGCCTTTAATGTAGAACTAATGAGAAGTTCCTGATAATGAGAAGAGTGATATAAAATATTGTGCAACAGGTAAATAACATACTTCTATTTGTTCATTTAAATGTCTCTAGAGTATGGTGCAAGCGTCATGTGATGTTTATGCCTGAAAAATACCGGATTATTCACAGCATTTTGAAAACCCTCACGAAGCAGAGAAAAGTGTCTGCTGCTGTCGTGATGTATCCGGTTTGGGCCAGCAGAGTTTACTCTTGTTTTTTGGATGTGGATACTTTTGTTTCTCTTAATAATCAGCCTTCCCACAGATATAAAGCCGGATGAATGTTGACTAAACAAATCTCATTTCAAGGTCCACTTACTCGAGTGTTGTGGAGCCTTTACCAGCCTCACAGAGCCTTTATCATCAGCAGAATGTCTTGTTGAGATTGTCTTCTTCTCTGCTGGCTAGAATAAGTAACTCTTCCTCTTAAAGATGAAATGTTTAATTCATAAACACAATCTTCATGACACAAAGTGGTATCGCCGCCACAGCCTTACATGGTCTGGCCGCTAAAGTCTAACATAAATATTGCTGTCTAACAGATCACTGCGTCACTTCTCTGTCATCGTGACCTTCCTGTAGGTGTGTGGCTACAGTAGGATTTAGTATTTATAGTTTTACTCTGAGCCAACGAGGATAAGACGTGTTAGAGGTTCTCAGAATCTACAACTCCACGTACGAGTTCAAAGTACTGATAGAGACTGTGATTCAGTAGAAATCTCCAAAAAAAAAGGAACAGTTTGTGAACCTCTGGGTCGAGACGGTTTTTGTGCAAGGTCAAAAATGATGATTGGAAAGGTTTGAGTTGCTAAATGCCTTCTGAAAACTCAGACGTACAGTGTTGTCTGAAAGTATTTTATCCACTAGGGGGAACCAATGACAGCGACGTCGTTAATATTCAAATTGAAATGAGCAAATCTGCTGCCTCTTTGACTTCCTGTATCTGATCTCAGTGAGCTCAAATTAGCTTCACCTCATATTGTAATATAAATGTTTTAATATCTTACAGATGACCTTGAGAGCTCTCGTCTGGTTTCAATTGTACCTGTGTGTAAAACTGGACTGTTGGATTTCTTGATCAAGAGAAAAATATCAGCCAATTTTTTAAAAACTGAATATCTTTAGGTTTTCGACATAGAAATTTTTTTTTTATGACATCACCTGCAAACTAAAATAGACTTGTTTTCTGAAAATGTATGGACCAAAGGGATAATCTAATTATAATAGGCCGATACTGAACATCTTTGTTGGTGGCAGTTCTATTTTGTACCTATAATATTACGTCAATATTTTCTCACGTATAAATAGAGTACCTCAGGGCTCTGTTCTTGGCCCGCTGCTCTTTTCTCTGGACATCTCAGCTGTCAGCTTGATATTGAGATGGCTGAAATAATTGTTCTTATGTTGCCAGTCCACAGCCGTACGTTCCTGTTTTCGTATATCCCTGTCTATAAAAACCACTGCTTTTGAACAACCATCTGTTGTTTGTGTCCACCAAGCACCACCGTCTGTAATGGAGGTTTCTCTGTGCTGCATCATCATCTGTCTTTTTCCTGCCTACTGTTGCATCTTTTTCTTGATCGGGGGTTTGTTTGGGGTTTTCCTAATCTGAAGCGAGGGTTGTAAAGGAAAGAGGGTGTCACATTCCTTTCACATAGTAAAGCCCCCTGAGGCAAATGTGTGATTTATAATATTGGGTTAAAATAAATAAGGCTGACATGACTTGACAATATACCAGCCTACTGTTTAAAAGCTGTTTTTAAAGGATCTTAAGAACATCCAGAAATACAAAGATAACTTAGTTTCAACACGTTTTTTTGTTGTTGCAAGAGATACATAGTACAGGTGACAAATAAGACTAATTTCACAACCATAGACTGTATATAGGCCACAACATCTACAGAAGATACAATGTATAAAACGGATGTTGTGGTTTAAAATGGGACAGATTTCTGGTTGTTTGTGTGCCATCTATTCTAACTGCGGCTTGTAACTCCTGCTAGTGCGACACGACGGAGCCTCATGCAGCGAAGTAACAGAGCTGAACACCAGGTCATCATGTGAGACATGTTTCAACTTCTGTTTATCTGCAAGACGGCTGCTGGTTCATCCTGGGGAAAGTCTGCCCTCAGTGACTCAACACACAAACCTCTCATCTAAAATGTAACACATATACAGTCAGGGAATGCAAATAAAAAAATCAGCTGCGAACAACACATAATGACACCACTGGTATCTCGCCATATTGCAACACATATTTTGCATTCAATCAGTAGAGATTATTTAATTCTAGAAACCAGCAATTGACAAGTCAAAATGTTGATTATTTACAATTCATTTGTTGCTAGTGCAAATGTAGATTTTAGATATTTGTAACTTATTTACAAGTCAACTTAACAAATATATTTTCATTGCAACTCAGGTATAGATGTCTATGAGTAAATTTGTACACTTTAACTCCAAAAAGAGATATCCATAAGGAGATGTTGACTTCCATGTACTATGGGCCTCTGTTTGATGCCTCAGTGTGAACCTGAAACACTGGGATGTTTTATTGTACTGCCATACCAGTTGTTTCCCCTCGCGGGCCCCACATGGCGCAGACGGTCCTCCAGAGTTAAAACTGTGCGGTCCCCATGAGGTTACTGGAGTTCAGTCACTGCTGCTGCTGGGCGTTGTCTCACTGTAATAGATTCCAGACTGTAGATTTATATCTGATTAAAGTATTTTTGATAACCTATTTATAACTGCATAATAAACCTTGATTATAAGATAACAAATATTAATTTCTTTCATATTTTTTATTTTGGCACTTAGGCTTTAAAGATCACTTTTTGTTGTAGATATTTTAGCATTAAACTTTATCCGGATGGTTTAGGTTTTTCCAAGTGAAGTTATCATGTTTCTGTGAGTTTAATGAGTCTCAGGAAATCATGACTCTCCTGTGAATCTGGCCTCATTACATCATACATGGAGCAGTTGAGCTGTCCGGGGCGGCTCCTCTTCTCCAAGCCCCTGCCATACCTTGCCTCTGATTGGCCGCCTGGTGTGGGCCAGTGGCTTCGGATTGGATGAAAACAAGGGCAAGTCTGCACAAGACCTACTGACAGACTGACATGGAAAAAGGAAGGGAGGCCAGCCTTACATGGAGACACAAAGGGTTATGAAGCATAGCAACGTTTGGCACAACAGAACATTTTAGGATTATATCAAATGGATGGGAGGGGTCTTTATATATTAATTTAACTTACATTTCCAGAATGCAATAGGAGGAATATTCAGTTAAACTAATATCTGAAATCTAATCCTGGCAACACGTGTTAACTTCTGAAGGCTTCCCAATTTTATTGTGTGCTTTTCTGTATGTTATTTGTTTTAAAAATGAGTTCTTCTCCATGCCTCGGGTTCACTGAGTACATTTGTTATGCAATAGTCTTCTTTAAAAAAAAAAGAAAAACACTCAGAAGAGGGATGTCCCTGCATCTAAAGCTCAGCCTGGATACTTCCCTTTTCTCACAGCCCTTAATGAAAACAGTTCAGTGACCAGAATCTTAAACATGAGAGAATAAACGTTGAATCTGTCTGAATTGTCCTTTGGACGTCTGGGGAGTGTTTTATTGCCGGAGACAGATCAAACTAGCTTTCATCCCGTGAGACTGCACAGGGCGCTTTTGTTAACATCAGCAGGATTGAGATGAATCTCTTTCCACTTCTGTTGAATGTCTGTGGCATTAAGACATGAAGAATAATACAAGATAATACTTTGACACAATGCCTTTTCTTTTTCCGTGTTGATAAGAAGAGATCTACTGCTATTTAATCTGCTGCTCACTCTGGCTCGATGGTTTCACCCCCTCAACTCTAAATATAACCCAGGCGATGAAAATAACACCGTCATGTATCGGCCCTCGCTGTTGGCCAGCAGCTTGACCTCGGCCAGACATCTGAGTAA